ATGAAAGCTGAATAGATTTGATCTGAACCCTTTACTTTTGATCTCATTTTTCTAATTGTTGATTCTTTTTCTTCTTTCTGCTTTTAAATTCTTTGTGAAGCACTTTTAATTGTCTTGTACACGAAGTGTGCCCCAGAAATAAACTCGCCATGACAGATTTAAGGTGGATTAGTTTGCATTTGGTTGGAGCTCGGCTTTTCCTTCTGGATCTGCTTCAGAGACAAAAGACTGATCATTTTGCTTTTTTTTTGGCATCGGACGGCTTTTAAAACTTAGAGGAGGCAGAACCGGGGTGCGTTTCCAGATAAAACCAGGACCTTTACAACCAGTGGGGCCCAAACAGCTCACAGAGACCCCTCATTCCTGACCAGTGCTGCCCCCTGCTGGCACTAAGGGATTCTTCTGAAGGTTAACGGCTGAATTCTGTTTTCTGTAATCAAAAGCTTCCACTTATTGTGTTCTTCTGCTTTTTTGTGCCCCCCCCCCCACCAGTCCCTACTAGAAATAAGCAGGTGGAGATGATGCATGGGTGGAGGTGTAGCTTTTTATCTCTCCATTTAAACCTTTAACAGAGCAGCGTTTGTTCCTTTTTGCCCGTTCGGATCCTTTTTGGGTTTCTGAGCTGTTTAATGTGTCTTTAAACTCAAACTTTTACAGCACATCAAACGCAAATAAAACAAAAAATAGAGCAGCAAAACGCGGTTTTGGGGGAGGGACCAGACCCCCTTTAGGTCCGTCTGGTTTTGGGGTCTGGGAGCCTTTGACCTCCGGCGGCGTCGGCTTTGACGTTGGATCAGCCCCCCCCCAAAGAAAGGTCCGGGTGGAAGTCTGGGTGGAGGTCTGGATGAAGGCCCAGGCTTGAGGTCCTGCCTGATGGGGGTTAGGGTGGAGGCTCAGGTGGAGGCCAAGCCAGAGATCCTGGTGGATGTCTTGGTGGATATCCGGTTGGAGACCAGGCTGGAGGTCCAGTTGGAGGCCCAGTTGGATGTCCTTCTGATGGTTCGGGTGGAGGTCCAGTTGGATTTCTGGGTGAAGGTCCAGGTGGAGCCCAGGCTGGAGGTCCTCCCTGGTGGCAGTTAGGGTGGAGGCCCTGGTGGAGGTCCTTGTGATTGTTCAGGTGGAGGTACAGTTGGAGGTCCGGGTGGATGTCCCGGTTGGGGTTCTGGGGTCCGGTTGGCCCCCGGCCCTCAGTGGGTGAGCAGGCTGGAGGTGTAGTTGG